CGGCTCGGCTCGCTAGCGGTGGCCGTTACTGAGGGCTAGGCGCGCTCTGCGGCTGCCGCGCTGCGATGGGGGGCGGGGGAGTTGCGGCCGGCGTGGCCCAGGTAGGGTCAGGTATTCTTGTAACTTGGGCAGGCGTTGTGCAGTTAGCCGCGGGGCTGTTGTACGTAAAACCCGGGAGGAAGGTGTCGTCTGTTCTCCTTAGCCTCTTTCCGCTGCAGGTTAGGCCACAGAGTGTCTGCAGTAAGGGGACACTTAGTGTACCCAGCATGCTGAAAACAGCGTAAAGCATTGTAAACAGGACTTGCAATGCTTATGAATGCCTTTTAAACACAAGCTGTTAGGTCGAAAAATCTACCATTGTTCCCTATCCAGCCTCCCTTGCACCCTCATTGTCACTGTTACATATATTGAACTTGCACTTCTGTACTTTAGCACAAACATATCGCCATGTTGCCCTCTGATTTTATTTCAAAGACCGTTTCTCAGGCCTTTTCCTCATCAATTCCCTCCCACACTCCCCCCCCACCCCCGTTTTAACTGGTTATCTATGACACCTGTACAAATGGGGTGGGGCTGCAGACATCAGAGACAAATACTGCTGATGACTTAGAAACAGTGTTAGCCACACAGTCAGTGTTAGAGTTGTCAACTATGAATAATAATGATTCATTAACATCCAAGTCATCATTGTAATCTGTGTTCTCAGTGCTAAGAAAATGTGTATTTTTCCAATGGGGTAACTAACGTATTACCTATCCCGCTGTAAAAACGTAGTGTAGAGTCAGACAAGGTACTTTAGTTCCACCAAAGGCCAACTAGATGAGATCAGCACTATGTCCTCCCACCCAATCAATGAAAAAGTAATGGGATCATTCCTTTTTTAAGAATCCTTTATTTTTGGCAGTACAGAGCAGTAAATATGTCAGAATGAAGAACATCACTGAAATGTATCATAAAATATGTCTGGTGGCACCTAAAAGACTAACCGATTTATTTGGGCATAAGCTTTCGTGGGTAAAAACCTCTTTAAGGTGCCACCAGACTCCTTGTTGTTTTTGTAGATACAGACTAACACGGCTACCCCCGATACGTAAAATATGTAACATACATAAAAGGCTGTGAAATTAAAATATGCAATTAGGAGTATAAATAATCTACTAGAAAAATCAACATCTATGTATGCAACAAGTGAAGTAATAGAAGAGTAAATTGTGCACCATAGTGTTTGGAGGATGGGAGATTACTTACAGAAATTAGGATTTTTAATAAATTTTCAGTTACAAAGGGTGGGGGTCATATTCCTGGAGGTCCAAATGCGTATTGAATGTTATAGGAATGTACATCCATTTTAGGTATAGTAAAAGCTGTGTTATCCAGCCCTGTACCAACTGGAAAGCTCTATAAACTGGTATTTCTAATCTTCCTAGAAAGTTTGGTTTATAGTCCAGTTGACGCGGGGTTGGCAGGCTCCCTACCTGGCTCCGCATGGCTCCCCAGAAATGGCGACATGTCCCTGTTGCTCCTAGGCAGAGGAACAGTCATGAGGGGTTAGGAGTGAGGGAGGGGGTGCGGGGCTAGGGGTTGGGGCACGAGAGGAGGTGCGGGGTGGGGGCTCTGGTAGGGAGTTTGGGTACGGGAGAGGGGTTGGGGTGTGGGAGGGAGCTCGGGGTGCCGGATCCGGGGGGGCGCGCAACTTGGGCGGCTCCCCGCAAGTGTCAATCTGTCCCGGCTGCTCTTAGGCGGAGGTGTGGCAGGCAGCTCTGTGCACTGCCCCTGCCTGCAGGCGCTGCCCCTGCAGCTTCCATTGGACATAGTTCCCGGCCAATGGGACTGCAGAGACAGCGCTCGGGGCGGGGGCAGCGTGCAGAGCTGGCTGCCGCACCTCTGCCTAGGTAGGAGCTGGGACAGGTCACTGTTTGTGGGGAGCCTCCTGAGGTGAGCGCCTCCCCGGATCCGGCACCCTGAGCCGCCTCCTCCCCAGCCCCACACCCAAACT